GGCTGGCATGTGGTGCTGGGGGATTGAACCGCGGTCTCTGTGCTTTGCTTAGCTTAGCTTGTTCTAAGTAGGTGCTTTAGACCATTGAGCCATCTCACCAGCCCAACTTCTGGAGTTTTAATAGCATGCCTCTTTTGTCAACGAATTGTTTGACATGACAGCGGCTCTGACTACAGAGGATTTGGCAGGAATGATACTTCTGACTTGATAGCCAGATTTCCCCCCCCATACTTTTATTATTCTTTTTGTCTTTTTGAGACAGGGTCTCACTGTGCAGTTCAGGCTGGCCTAAAACTCCCACTGATGCTCCTGCCTCAGCCTCCCCAGTGCTGGATTACAGGTGCGTACTACCACGCCTGGCTGACTGCCAGATTCTCATGGGAAAGAATTTACTCACCTAGAATCTCATCAAAGATTTTATACAAACCAGGAACAAAAGTGACTTCCCTGTAGTTCATGCCAATATCTTCATCATAAACCCACATTTGCTAGAAAGAAGTTAAATAAGTATTTATTTTTTCTTTTTAAGAGATATTGTTTTGTCATAATTCCTATAGTCTTTGATTAAATACCAATTAAAAATATATATATATGATAAGCTAGTTCCAGTGACACTCAGGACATGAGGCACAGAAAATTAATCTGAAAAATTACATATGTCAACTACTGTGTAACTGCATTTAATTAGTTGGTTTTACCTGGGTCACTAATTCCACAGAGCCAATGTAGGTGTCTGGGCGGAGCAATATATGTTCCAACTGGGTTTTCTTTTGATAAATTCTTTCAATGGACAATCTTTTCTTGGCATCTTCATTTTTCTTAATTTTGTTCATTTGCATATTTTCATTTACAGGCTAGCCATTGGAGGGGGGGGGAATTTTTTTTAAATAGTAAGTTTATCAGCGGTAACAACACACATCAGCGTATTACAATACAGGTTTGGGACCCACACAGCAAATTAAACTCCCTGTCGCAGGTTCCCAGGTGTCCTTTCATCGGGCACTGCGCGTCCCCGAGTGTGCCTGACACAGCAGCCGCCGGGCTCCCCGGCAATGTTTCGGAGCACACGCCCACTTCTCCCATTTGCTGCACTAGCAGCTCTGGTTACCCGCGACGGCCTGTGCCCAACTGGGACCCCCAGGGCGACAACTTGGGACACGGTCACCCCAGCCCGCGTGCCCGCGACGACCCCGCGCCTAACTGAGGCCTCAGGGAGGCAGTTGGGGGCGCTGTCACCCCGCCCCCGGCCACCGGGCCGCGCTGTCGCAGGAAGGACATTCGCGAGCCCCGGGCCGCCGGCTCCTTCCCAGGGACCCAGAGCGACACCAGAACGGACCCCGCGAGCCGGAAGACCGGCCGCGACCCCCGGGAAGCCGGCGCGACCCCGCCGCAGCCCCGGAGCCTCACACTTCCCTCACCCCTCACGCGCGGCCGAACGATGCAGGGGCGCGCTCAGCCTCTGCGACGTCCCGGCCGCTCCCGCGAGCTGTACCTGCAATGGTGACACCTCCATGGTGACGGTCGTGACCAGACTCGAGAACCTCCCAAAACGACTGAACCAGCGAAGCCACGAGACGTGAGGAGACGCAGCCGCTTCTCCACAGCCGCGCGTCGGTTAGGCAAGCTCCCCAGGACTCTTTGAACCCCCGGTAAGCCCGCCTAAATCAGCTAAGCCAATCACCTGCCAGCTCCGTCCAGAAGAGCCAATCGTAGGTGGTCTCTCCTATCCACCAACGAACGGCCGACGAAGCCTGCTCGAATGAGCCAATTAGGCGAGGGAGGCGGTACTAGAGAGGGTTTTCAAAACACACCAATCGCAGCCGAAGTGGAGAGACGGACATACAAATTGGCCAATGAGAAGGCTGTACTTATTCTCTCCTGAGGGGGCGCTCTGAAGAGGCGGGGAAGCCCTGAGGTGTCTGAGGGAAAAAGAGAAAAATTGTTCCTCATTTCAAGTGTGGCTCTCAAGGTCTGCCTCCATCCTCCTCCCTCATAATTTATTTTCAGGGGTAAAGTTCCCCCGTTGTGATTTTTGGCTTCCACACAGAGAGCGGACGTAGAGGGCGACTTAGGGATCCCGGGCGAGCGCTGTGCCTGGGCTGAGCGCGACCCGTGAGCTCTCCTCCAGCAGGGCTGAGGGCCGCAGTGTGTGCCGTGTGCCCTTCCTGGCAGCTCCCGATACGGCGACCACAAATCAGCCATTGCCCTTGCAAGACGCCAGAGAAAAAGCAGCTGTCGGTGGAGCGCATCCCAGCCCCATCCGAGTCACTTCCTTCCCCCCATTACTGCCTTCGATGCCAAGTGGTTTTGGGTGGTTGCTTCTTTTCCTTTTTTTTTTTTTTTTTTAGACAGAACATCAATGTGGCTGTAGTTTTGTTTTGAGGCAGGATCTCACTACATAGTCCAGAATGACCCTGAACTCAGTTATGGAGCCCAGGCTGGCTTAGAACTCACGCTCCTCCTGCCTCAGCCTCCTGCGTGCTGGGTCACCACTGATAATTGCTGAATTATTATGGTGGTCATCTAATATGGCTGAGGCCCTTAAAACAACAGCTTATCTCCCCGGAGACCACCTGTCCCCCTTCTCCAACTCAGCCCAGACTTCAGTTTCCTTTCACCTTTCCCACTACCTCAGGGAAGACCACCATCAGCAACTCAGATATTTCTAAACACCCCCTCAAACTCCACCCGGAACAAAGGTCCGTAAGAGCCTCAGCTTTCTTTGTCTCAAGCCAGAGAACTTACCTGACCCGTCTGCCCTCGACCCTCTACATCTTTGGAGTTCATAATGGCTTCCTTTATCTTTCCTATCCCTTTACTGCGCCTCTGAAAAACCTATCAACTACGCCTGGTTCTGCCCAGCTACAAATCCAGTTTATCAGCTTCTTCATCTTAATAGAGGAAGTTTCCTGGTATTTCAGTTTCCTTTACTGAAAGAGGGAATAATGGTAGTACTGCTAGCAAGTTGTCTGAGGGTGATGTGAGATCTGGGTAAGGCGTTTAGAAGCAGAGTTGACCCGTAACAGTCTGGGCATGCGGCCTAGCGGGACCATGTGCTCCCGGCATCACAAGCTCTAGTTTCTTTGTTTCTTTCTTTTGTTTATTTATTTAGAGACAAGGTCTTGCTATGTAGCCCAGGCTGACCCCAAACTCGAAGCAATCCCCCTGCTTCAGCTTCCTGAGTGCTGGGATTAGAGGTGTGCACCACCATGCACAAGGCTCTGGTTTTGTTTTGTGGGTTTTTTTAAATAGTAGGCTGTCAGAATCAGCAGGGAGGCATTTTGTGAACTTAATTACTTTTCTTTCTTTTCCTTTGAGAAGGCTCTCACTCTGTGGTCCAGGCTGGCTTTGCATTTACTCTGCAGCCCAGATTGGCCTCAAACTCACAGCATCTTCCTGCTCAGCCTCCCAGAGCACTAGGATTACAGGTATGTTCCACTGCAAGCCCAGCTTTTTCTTCTAAAAGAAACTTGAGCCAGACATGGTGGTTTAAGCCTGTAATCTCAGCACTTGGGAGGCTGAGGCCGGAGTATTGCCACAAGTTTAGGAGCAGCCGGGGCTACAAAGTGAGTCCAAGGCCAGCCTGAACTACATAGTGAAACCCTATCTTGAAAAGACAAAAAGAAAAAGAGAGAGA